GATGGGTGGAAACTTGACTTGGGGTGGTAAACATAAATACAGTGTACAGATGATGTGTTGTGGAATTGTGCACCTGAAACCTGTAAATTTTGTTAACCAATGTCACCCCAATAAATTCAATAAAAAGGAAAAAATAAAAACAAAAAAACCCAAAATGGAATAGTGAACAATCTTTATACTTCTTTCTCCTTCAGACTCATAAAAATACCGATTAAAATATCTTTTTAAAGTATTAAAAATGTATAACTCTTGTTCCAAAGTGAAAAGAAGAGAGAAACCAGAACTATACCAGGAAACAAACAGTAGGTAACCTCTGGGGTCACACTGTCTGTTTTTGAATCATGGTCTACTTCTTACTAGTTTTTTTGACCTTAACCAATTCAGGAAACCTCCTGAAGTTTCAGGTCCTCAACTGCAAAAAGGACATAGTACTTTCATACCTCATACAGAGCTTTTGGAAAATCAGATCACCTAATAGGTGGAAAGTACTTAGAACAGCAGTACCTAGGATAGAAAAAGCTCTCAATAAATATTAGCTGCACATTATTGTTGTTGGTGTTCTTACTAGTTTTTAAAAGGATCATGGTTAGAATTATCACTTTATTGGTCTGTTCATTTGGTGTCTTGCTTTTTAAAACATAATTTTTATTTATTTTTTAATGGAGAGGGTGTTTCGACCCTATACAGTTTTCCCTTGATTTATTCACAGTTTCATTGTATTTTACCATGTAGTCTTCTAAGTATGTGTCTCTAGTTATACTACTTGTTAGTTTTCTTGTAGGTGAAATTTTCTTAAATTTTTTACGTTTTGTTTATTTCAGTGATGATCTTGGTAAACACTTTTTAAAATTGTGCCTCATGTTCATCTGTTAGATTAAGTTCTTAGTGGCTAGAGATTTTTTTTTTCTTTCACAGTTCTTTTAATACTGGATAACATGTTAATGAGTGGAATTAGGTCCTAATGCATCTAGCATTTTGTAGCTAACAGGTTTGTGATAGTGAATTTGGAAGCTTTTAGTAGCTATTTCCTCATTCAGTGGACTGCTCATAAATATTTTCTTTTAAACCAACTCTAGTGGATAATAGGTAACATTTGTAATAATAACTTTCTTCTCTTTCACTGTTGTAGTTCGGAAATTTTAGCGGTCAGATGCCAGGAATGCAGATACTGATGGGACAGCCAGTGCCAGGAACAGGGCCACATGTGCTCCCTGGTGGATACCCTGGACACCCAGCTTACTTGAATAATTATTCCTCATCGGAAGACCCCATGTGGACATACTTTACTGCTGTTGCTGGACAGGTGAGATGCTAAATATGTTGCACAAATACCAGTTTTTAAAAATGATTGCTGTTTAAAAGAAATGCTCACTTTTTTACTTAGTGTATCATTTTAAATGTATATCAAATTTGTATTTTACATTTATCTAGACTAATTTTCTTCCTGAGGTCAGAGATGAGGGTACTCATTTTACTTTAAAAAGTCTGTTAGCATGATGCCTGATATATAGTTCATTTAACTAAAAGTGGAAGCAGGGTGGTATATGGAGTTGAGCCAGAGAGGATTTGGAAAAAGAGATCAATGTGTATAGATTGGTGACATTATTAAGTTGCCATACAGTCATGTTCTCCCTCTCCCCAGACTTCTTGTATAAAACAATAAACCCTTATTTGCTTAAGCCCCTTTAATAGCATTTTTTATTGTTTGCAACTAAATGCAATTCTATCTGTTGCAGTATACCATTCTTATCTACAAGACACTTTTGAGTAGTATAATACTGAGAATAAATATGTTATCTATAATTGACTAAATAATAAATCAATTTTATAAAATTATAACTTAAAACACAGGAACTGGACATATATATTAGACTTTTATTTGACTATTTCACTGCAACGGTTGTCAACAATGATTTGCTATGTTTGTAATATTTGATAATTTCCTTAATTTTCCCATAGTCTTATGCTTTTGAATAAACTCAGTAAAAGTATGACTCTTGCCATATTATCCTTACCAAGTTGGCACTAGGAATATAGTAGTCATTCAGTAAGTGTGTTGAATGGATACATAAACTATTTCATTTTTAATTTTTTAGTCCAAATATTTAGACGATTCTTTTATGTGTTGAATTTTGCCTACCTTTAGGATCAGGTGTAATATCAGACGTACATGTTATGGCCCTAGAACCCAATTACTGAACTCACTTCTACAGCTCTAGTCTTTTTTGACAGACCTCATAATTAATGATGCTCTATGAGACATGTCCAGTTAAAGCTTTCTGCAGTGTTCGTTTTTATAGGATGATGTTTTCTGAGCAGTGATGATTCACTTATCAGTTGATTCGAAGAAATTCTGGTTTGTATCTTCATAAACACCCACATACACCCACACACACATTACGAATTTCACTAATACCGCATTTCACTAATACCAACAGCTTTAACTTGAATGTGCACACTGCTTCCACTTTTCCACACAGCAGCTCTGTGAGGTGGGTAGAATGGATGTGCCCTTTTATTATAGATAAATAAGTGAAGATTAAGACTGAGTAACTGAACAAATAAGATTTGAACTTGAATATCATTTCAAAATCTTGCTGCCTATCAGTTAACTTAACCAGTGGCAACTGACTTTTTGTTAATTATCTGCCTAAAGCTCTTATTTAATTAGAAAATGAAGTTTTCTACCTCTAATGCTACCACTTTAGTTGAGGGTTTGCACAGTTGATAATGAGATCGAAAATGATCACTTTTCATATAGTTGATGAAGACATTGCTTATTAGTCAGTTAATTAAGATAACATGTTTTTATAAAATGTATGAAATATGAGTATGAAATAGTGTACTAGGAGAATGCTTTCTGATGGTTAAAGCTTTCAGTAAAGCCATTCAGGTTGTTTTTCTGACTCTAAACATTCTGTGAAATGCACATGTATAATTGAGTTTTATTCATTATGTTAGATTTTAGATTTTTAAATTTAATCCACATTTAAATGAGTAATTGTAATATTTTAACCTTTTGAAATAGTAAATGAACTTGGTCACATACTGTCAGAAATGACTAAAGTTTAACCAAGAAGCAATAGTAGTTGTCTTCATTCTACCAAAACAACTAACCTGCTTTGTACTAGGTATTATGTTAGGACCTGGGGATGCAAAAGGTAAGTGAAATTCAGATACTGACTTAGAAGATTTCTGCCCAGTTAGGGAGATAAACATGTAGGAAATGAGTGATAGAGGGAAAGAAGTGCTAAAGGAGTTCGGTAAGGATTATAGCAACACCAAAAACATCCTCTGATGTTTATACTTGTTTTCTTTGCTAACAACAGCACTGTCCAAAATAAATATAATGCGAACTACAAATGTAAGCCACATACGTAGTTTTAAGCCTTGAGCAGTACATTTTAAAAAGTAGAAAGAAATAGGTGAAATTAATTTTAATAATATATTACATATCAATGTTATCAATATAAAAGATATGTTACTTTTTTTCTTTTTGTTATTAAATCTTGGAAATCTGGTGTGTATTTTACAGTTACAGAACGTCTCAGTTCAGACTAGACCCAGTGGAATGTTTATGGTTAGTGGCTACTGTTTTAGACAGCTCAGGCCTAAAACGCCCTTCCTTCAGATATCTACATAGCTCATTCCTTTACTGTTTTCAGATCTTTTTCAAAATTCACTTTATCAGTGAGGCTTTCCTTAACCATCTACATAAAATAGCATTGCCTCCTCCACAGGGCTCATGCACACACATTCCTTATTACCTTTACTCTGTTGTATTTTTCCCTTAGCACTTAATACCATCAAAATGTAAACTCTATGAAGGTGAGAAATTTGTTAAATAGGATGAGGTACTGAACCTGAGATTCTTCAACCAGTTTCACTTCCATTGTGATTTTTTATTTGCATTAAAGACTTATTTCCCATAATAAGTTCAAGAATGTTAGGGCAATAATCAGAAGATTACTAACAAAGTTTTGCTGGGGGTAGTAGTGGTAGAGGGAAAATATCTTTTCTCCTTATATTTTAGAAATAACCTCCCCCCAAAATAAGCATTTTGAAAGAAAGTTTTTGAGACTTTTCTGAACTCATTGTAGGCATTTTTCCAACTATTTTAAGTAGAGGTACAGTGTTTCTTACAAGATATTTTGAGCTATTATAATACAGAATGATTATGCTGTTACCCAGAAGTGGAGGAAATAAATTATATTTGAGATGCTTGAAAATTTAATAAAATACAATTTGTGAAAAATTATATATAGTTCATGATGTTCTGTAACATGCCTTTACTGTCAGTAGTTATCTATTATTTTGTAGTTGATAGTAGAGTAATATTTTAAAGAATGCATATTTATTGATTGGCCTTGAATAGACAGCATTTTAATAATGCTTTTATACAACTGTACATTAAATCAAGTTATAATTATTTTTAACAGGATGGTGAAGTGGATGCTGAAGAACTTCAGAAATGTTTGACACAGTCTGGAATTAGTGGAATTTATGCTCGTGAGATCTTTTTTCTTCCCTCTGTTGAAATTGGAATAAGAAATTCATTTTCTAACATTTTGCCCCCATACTTAAACTGCTTTACAATTTACTTTATCACAGATATACATAAGTGTAGCTTAAAGAGTCAAATAATTCTGCAAAACTTCATGTGAAAATAACTGTTCATTGTGCATTGCTATCTCCCCAATGGTAATCATTCATAGAGGAAATATCTTTCAACTTTTTCAGATGATTGTTTTAAAATTTGCCTCCAGATCTCAAAATAGCATGCTTTTTTTTTTTTTAAGTTTCTTTATCTTTATTGCTGAGAATATTTCAGATGTCCCCTTTTTATCCCCATTGATCCCCTCCACCCCGCATCCATCCCAGCCACAGGCCTTCCCCACACCAATGTCTGTGTCCATGGGTTATGCTTATAAACATATAAGTTCTTTGATTAATCTCTCCCCACCCATTCCCCCCTCCTCGCCTTCCCTCTGAGATCCCTCAGTCTGTTCCATGCTTCTGTGTCTCTGGATCTGCTTTGTTCATCAAAAATAACATGCTTTTTAATCACTATTGATTGTCGGTTTTAATGATTATTAGTCAGTGTCCTGCTATGCAACATAAGGATTTAAGTCTCAACCTTAAGCTCACCCTTGTCCCTGCGCTCCACACAGGAACCCTTCCCATCTGCCATCCATTTAGCATAGCTATATAGTAATTTACATTAGATCAATAATCAGTATTTGCCTTATTGTTACTGTCTAAATGCTCTTCTTGTGTCTTGGGATAGGTAGGATTGATTTTCCACTTTACGTAACTGCTGGAATTAATCATCATCTTGGAGCTTTCTGTTGTGCTCTACTCTGTGCAGCGTGTCATACTAGCATTCCATCACCGTCATTTGGGAGCTCTCTTTCCTCTCTCTCGAGTTGGATTTCTTCTTTATTTCATCTCCTGTCATCCTTTTTAATTCTATAAAATATAACATTAATTAAGCTTCTTACTAAAAGAGTGCATGAGAAGTAAATTTTTTGAGACTTCATCTGAAAATGCTTTCATCCTGTCCTCAGAATTAAATGATTGACCAGGTGTAGAACTCTAAGTTACAAATAATTTTCACTTAGAATCTTAAAAGTATTGCTCCATTGTCTCTAGCTTCCATTGCTGCTCTTTCTGTTTCCTGCCTGTACCTCATTTGTCTATCCTCTCTCGAGGCCTGTGAAATCTTTGTTCCTAGTCTGGTAGTTCACAGTGATGTGCCTAGTTGTGTTGTGTGGGGAACTCAGTGAGCAACCCCAGTCTGCGAACTCATTTGCTTTAGTTCTGGGAAATTTTCTTCAATGATGTTGTCTCCGTTTTCTCTTTCTAGAATGCCTGTTATTTAAAATGGATCACTTATTTTTTCTCTCCTATTTTTTGTTTTCCTCTATTTTGGGGCACATTTCCTTATCTTTATTTTCTAGACCTTCTATTAAGTCTTGTCTGCTGTCATGTTCTTAAAATCCAAGAGCTTCTGGGTTTTTGTTGTTTTTTTTCATGGATGTGATGTCTTCCCTTATCTCTCTGAGACTATATAACCTTTGTTTCCAGCAAATTGTTTGTTTTTTTTTTTTTCAGATTGTTTGTTTGTCTTTTATATTAGATGCTTTTCTCAGGTGTCTGAGATCCTTGGATGCTCATATTTAACTAAAATGCTGGTTAGAAGCTCTGAGATCATGGTTAGGTGTTGATCGTAGACTTCCATGTCTGATGGTTGGGCTGGGCAGTTTGTTGTGCAACACTGGGTGTTAGTATCTTTAGGGATTTCCTTTGGGGCTGGTTGTCCCCCTGATCTTTCAGCAGGGCTCTCAGTCTTTTGTAAATTGTCATTTAATTGCCTTGTTTTTAGTAGATAGCCCTGTTCTGGAGTCCTTCGGTCTAGAGACTTCTCCAGGGAATAAAACCCCAGACTTCTGCTGGGTGGGAACAGAGCCTTCCACTGAGCTGAGTACCAGAAGGGGATTTGGAGCTCTAAATGCTCCTTAAGCAGATAATCAACCACTCCTGTTTTTATCTTACCTTCACACCCATTTACAGAAGTATTGCCATTTCTTAAACGTTTGGGGTCTTTTTCAGGATAAGTAGGCTGCTTCTCAGCTTTGATTACAAGGTCAGGAAAGCACTTCTTAGATCTAGGTTAGTGAACTCACATCCATCTACTTTTCCAACTTGAAAAATGTTGTTCCTTTGTTTCTTCTTTCATTCTCTTTTTCTCTAAAGGTTTATGGCTTAAAAAAATCAATTTACTTTCTCTTCTAATGGGGTCTGGTGAAAGACTGAAACTGTCAGCTTTCTTGAAAATTCTTTCTCTTCATTCTTTGTCAAAATATTTAATCTTATATATACTTGATCTTATTTTGAGATTAAAGATATGCTTATTTGATGACTCAATTTTTGCCATTTATTTTAATCTATTCCTATTCTCCCACTTAATGAATATGTGCCATGTTAACTTTAAAGCAAAACAGGCATCTTCTGCTTGACAATTAATGGAGTACCACTCTTGAGATTTCTCATGTAACCTTTGCCACACTCCCCATCCCTGCTCATATAGTTTTTGTGTCAAGGAATGCTGGGCTCCAATCCTGATGGTTCCACTTATTCGCTCTATGAACTTGGGGAATTATCTTTCTGGGCCTCAGTTTCTTCATTTGTAAAATTAGGACTATAATGTATTCGGCATGTTTATCTGACATCATGAAACACTACCTGGCTCATAGTAAATGCTCATTGAGTGTCTGTTGAAATTGTAAGTCTGAAAATAACTATAACCACCTATTCTAACATTGACAATGTATTAAACATTTAAAGAAAATCAGATATTTTAACTTGTGGAATGTTTTATATTTTTTCTTAATGGATCTAAAATTTAGCTGAAATAATTTGTTTCTTTATAGAATTTCAAAAATATCAAATAGCATAAAATAAACCAACTTAATTTTAAGCATTTTTATTTATTTTTTCATTTTAATGAGCTATTAGCTACTAGAACTTTGTACGCTTTACTGTGCTGATATAATATCTCCTTTATCAGGACTATGATACAGTCTTGAGATAAACCACATACTAATTGAATGCAATGATGGTAAAGATTTGAGAAATTAGGTTCTACTTAGTGAGTCCTCAGTTACACTTCTATAATTACAAAATTGTTAATATTTCTAAAAAACTGATTTTAAGATAGTTTTATTTATTTATTCTTCCTTTCTTCCTCCCCACCTCCCTACCCCCACCCCCAAGGAAAAAAACAGTTGCTTCAGTTCTGAAGCTTATCTTTTTTACTTGGCCAGTTGCAATAAAACTGTCAAATGACTTACCTACATCCATTTTCATCTCACTTTACAGTCTACTCATGGTAAACTAATGTTTCTGAAATGGAGATTTTAGTATTGCCCCTCTGCTGCTTAAAATCCTTCAGTGACTTCTATTGGTCTAAATCTTTAGGGTGGCTTTCAAGACTTTCATGATCTGGCACTCATCTGTCTTTCTGATGTCATCATATGCAACTCCCTCACACATACCCCAAGCTTTAACCAGTCCCTAACTCCTTCAAGTTTTGTGATCTCCATATAACTTCTGTTTAAACCCATTTGTCATTTGTATTAGGAAGACTAAAGCCCTCCTTCTCTCCTGTGATAGCAATTTTCAGTTACTTTATAACTGCTTATTTAATTATCTAAATTCCCTTACTAGATNGTATAACTTCTGTTTAAACCCCATTTGTCATTTGTATTAGGAAGACTAAAGCCCTCCTTCTCTCCTGTAATAGCAATTTTCAGTTACTTTATAACTGCTTATTTAATTATCTAAATTCCCTTACTAGATGTGAGTAGTTTGAAGGTAGTAACTATTTTTTTATTTTGTTTTGTTTTTTACTATGGATGGATGGCTGACATTCAAAGTTTACTGATTGGGGTGATTGTATATTTTTGGCAATTTTGAATGTTTTGATTTGACAATAGAAATTGTCATAATCCTACTTAGATAAAATTGAGTAGATTCTAATTCAAATAATAAATATGTCTTATAGCCTTCAGTTTGGAAACCTGCAGAATTATGATTGCCATGCTGGATGTATCCTTGAATAAAAATAGAAAATACTGTTGAATAATTGCTTTTGAATATTAAGGCAGTTGTTGGTTATGGATGACCATAGTAAACTAGAGTTTAAAAATAGTTTGTAAGATCCTGTATGAATCCCACACTTCTTCAGTTTTACATAGAAATCTATTCATGTGCTGAATTTGGCTAACTCTTAAAAAAGCATCCTACCTTTTTTTTTTTTTTTTTTTTTTATTTTTTTTGGGTTTTT